TTAAACAAGTCAATAAATATGGTCCCTAGAAGTAGTCTTGCCTCAGAGTATGCTTTTAATGTTAGCTATCATTGTTAGGGCTACACAGCACAGATCATTGTAGCAAAAACCTAAAAGTTCATGTCTATAATCCTAGCTACTCAGGAGGCTGAGATCTGAGGGCGGTACTATGAAGACTCTGTGGGACTCTTATCTCCAATTAATCATCCAAAGCTGGAAGTGGAGTTGTGACACAAGTGGTAGAACACTAACTTTGATCACAAAAGCTCAGGGACAGAGCCCAGGCCCTGAGTTCAAGCCTCAGGACTGGCACTAAAAAACCCCCACACAACACACACAACACACACACACACACACACACACACACACCTAAAAGTTTATTAAACCTGTGAAAGGTGGTAATTTTTTTCTCCATAAACTATAAACTAACACTTCTCAAGATTCTTTCTTATCCTTGTAACAAAGAATATACTATCAAACAAAAATACTATCAAACAAAAGATTCTTGAGTTGAAACAAAAGAAAATAATGGCTAAGTGATTACTTTTTTAAGTAGAAAAATAAGCTTGGTTTCTAATGGAAAAAAAAAAACAGTTTTCTTAAGTTTAACAACAGAGTAAGACACAAAGTCAAGTCACATGTGATCATTTATTCTACAACTAATGGAAGTTCCAGGGTTTGAACTCAAGGCCTCACGCTCACTCCAGCTTGCTTGCTCAGCTAGCACTCTACCACATGAATCATGCCTCTAACCTGGCTTTTTGTTGGTTATTTTGGTGATGGACTGTCATGATCTTCTATGCCTGGGCTGGCTTCAAAGTACACTATTCCTGATCTCAGCCTCATCAGTAGTTAGGATTACAAGCTGCTGGCAACTAGAGAAAACTCCATTTTTTTTTTGGGGGGGGGGGAAGGGTCCGGTCATGGGGACTGAACTCTGGGCCTGGGCTCTGTCCCTCAGCTCTTCAGCTCAAGGATAGCGCTCTACCACTTGAGCCACAGTGCCACTTCTGGCTTTTTTTGTTTTTGCTTATGTGGTACTGAGGAATTGAACCCAGGGCCTTATGCATGCAAGGCCCCGAAAACTCCATTTTTTTAAGCTCAGGTATGATGCTCTCTTTTCTGTGCTCCAACTCCTGACAGCAGCATGACCTGAACACAGCCCAGGGCCCAATGCAGAAATCTTATCAGTAAGGGAACCAGGCTGGTGCTGACGATCTCTGTCAACTCCAATTCATTTATACAGGTAATACTATTAACTGTCCATGACTGGATAAAAAGCTTAGAACATATTACTTCATTACATTTTCATCTAAGCTGTCTTCAGAACTAGTTAAGAATTTCTTTTCTCCTATTCCAAATTCAGTTTTCAAAGCACAATTTTCAAAAATAGGCTGATGTTCAATGGATTTTTAAAAGCCCTTCTATGATATACTATGACACTAAAAAATCTTCATAATTATTACAAATAATTGTACATCTGAATGATATAAGGATGAAGTTGTTAAAGCTGCTAAGGTTGAAAGATGAGAATGAGATGTCAGGCACCAGTGGTTCACAGCTATAATGCTAGCTACTTAGGAGGCTGAGATCCAGAGGATCACAGTACAGAGCCAGCCTGGGAAAAAGTATCTGTGAGATTCTATCTCCACAGAACCAGCAAAAAATTGAAACATTATTTAAAAAACTACTATGGCTCCATGAGTATGCTTGGTATGTTTGTTGGTTAGGATTGGAGGTCCCAGAGAAGGCATGTTCCATGAGGTCAAGGACCTTGGCTACAGGGATAGAAAAGTCAGATCTAAGCAGTGAAGTACACAAGCCCCATTACCCCCACATAAAAGGAGGAGGAAAACAAAAGGAGAAGGAGGAGAGGGAAGAAGAGGAAGACGGGTGAATCAGGTACAGCTTTTAAAAAAATGCCAGGTGCCAGTGGCTCACGCCTATAATCCTAGCTACTCAGGAGACTGAGATCTGAGGATTATGGTTCAAAGCCAGCCCAGGCAGGAGAGTCCATGAGGCTCCTTTTTTCCAATAAACCACCAGAAAGCCAGAAGTGACACTGTGGTTCAAGTGGTAGAGTGTTAGCCTTGAGCTGAAGAACTCAGGGAAAGTGCTTAGGCCCAGAATTCATGCCTCACAACCAACCAAAAAATAAATGAATAAAACAAGTAAGCTGGGCATCCGTGGCTCACACTTATAATCTTAGCTACTCAGGAGGCTGAGATCTGAGGATCATGGTTCAAAGCCAGCCTGGGCAGGAAAGTCTGTGAGACTCTTAACTCCAATAAACTATCGGGGGGGGGGGGGGGGGAAGGAAAGGACAAGAAGAGGAAAATGGAGCTATGGTTCAGAGTCCAGAGTGCTAACCATTACACCATGGAACCTCCTGTACTGGAGCTATGGTTCAAATGGTAGAGCACTAGCCTTGAGCAAAAAAGCTAAGGGACAGTGCTCAGGACCTGAGTTCAAACCCCAGGACCGACACACACACACACACACACACACACACAGCTAATGGTTAAATTTCATGTTTCAAGACATATATCTACATCATTTTAAAGGTTTCAGTATATTACTTTAGCAAAAAATGATGAGAACAATTACTGTCCTTCCTATTTGTCAAAAAGCTCTTTGTTAAAAGCTCTTCTATGAAATACTAAGACATTAAAAATTTCTCACCTCATAATCACTACAAATAAGTGTACATCTGAACAATATAAGGATAAAGTTGTTAAAGCTGCTAAGGCTCTAACTTAACTTTCCTCATCAAAGTGAATAAACATGAGGGTGAATCTTTTAACCTTTCAGCTTTAATTTCCCTGCCTCTAAGAATGAGACTAAATGATCTTCAGGTTGTATAGCTTAGAAAAGCAGTCTGCATGTCCAAAGGAAAGCAAAGCAATGTCCTAGCACACATTAGAACATCAACCAAACCTAAACATTTGCCTTAAACTCAGGACAGCCTTGGGCTATTTTGTTGTCATTGGTGGTCTTGAGACAAAGGTTCACAATGCAGTGCAGACTGACCTTGAACTCTAGGCCCTCCTTCATCTACCTCCTAGGGCTGGAATGACAGGGGCCTGCCATCACAGGTGCAGCCACCACACTGCAAGTGCAGAGGACTCTCTTCCCTCTAGCCTTCCCCTCTCCCCATGCCAGTGTTACTGTACCAAATGCTCCAAGTCCATGGACCATGTGGCAGTAACATTTGCCATAAAAAAATCCATAATTCTCCAAACAATGTAAGCAATGCAAGTTATTTCCCAGACCATTTATGAGCTGGCAGAGAAGACTGTCACATGTAGACCAAATTTTGTCTCAGGATTAAAAATCAATAAAGTTCTTCCAACATATCTGTGTGTAGAAGGGAAAGCCCTCAGAGGAAATAAAATTAAACTTCAAGGATCTAAATTTGAGTTTAACACAAATATTTTAATTTTAATGAAATTGTACATGGTGAGGGGTTTCTGAAGGTATGCTATGAGTTCAATCAATTTGGTCATTGTTTTTCAATCTAGGAAAAATGATTTTGTGGGCTTTCTGTATTAGGAAAATATTTAAGTTTTATGGGAAGGATTTTTAAAAAAATCTCCAGTTTAGCTCTTTTTTTAAATGTATATTTTCACTTTGAACTGACAACAATGGTACAAACTTGTGGGCTACAAAGTGTTTTTTTTATGTGTGTGTATGTGTGTGATACTGGGGGCAAACACAAGGCTACATGCATCTAAGCTATACTCAGCTACATCTTCAGCTCTGTGTGATAACTCAATGCATGTATGTGTCCATGTAATTATAGACACATATGTATATTATATACATGTATACTGCATGCATAATTTATAACTATAATTTCTGCATATTGGAAACATTCAAAACTCCTTCTTCTTGCTATTTGAAAATACGTAATTATTGCTAACCTTAGTAATCCCACTTGTATATGGGCTACAGAATATTATACCAGGTGCCAGTGGTCATGCCTATAATGCTAGCTTCTCAGGAGGCTGAAACTTGAGGATCACAGTTCAAAGCCAGGCGAAGCAGGAAAGTCTGTAAAACTTTTATTCCAATTAAATAACTCCCCCCACCCACAAGGAAAGAAAAAAACAAAAATAGAAATGGAGGTGTGTATCAAGTGATAGAATGCCAATATTGAGGGGAAAAGCTAAGGGACAGTTCTCAGACCCTGAGTTCAAGCCCCAGTATCAGCATATCCACAGACAAAATAAAGAAACAAAAGGAAAATTAGACTTATTCCCCCTATCCGACCTGCATCAGCCATTTTTATATAGCCTCCTCTTTCCAGGTAACCATTATTCTACTCTCTCCTAGAAAATCAACTTTTTCAGTGTTCACATATAAGTGCTTTTAATGCTCTCTCCAATGTCACATACAGTTGGTCTTTCTCTGCCTGACATGAAAGTAATTTTAAGCTGGGTTACATACCATGAAACCACAGGCAGGCAAGAAGGCAGCGACGCTAGCTCGCTCATCTATTATTGGTGGGAATAGGATATGGCACACTTTTGAGAAATAGCAATTAAACTCTTACTACTGATGTACATACTAACATACCATCAAAACATTACACTGAGCAAAAGATCACATGTTGTATGTTTCTTTAAAAATAAAACTCTTTGTCTAATCTGCACTGACAGCAAGCAGATGTGTGGCCAAGGATTGAGTATAAGGTGGAGATAGAGAGGTTGGAATTGACCAAGTTGGGCAGAGGGAAGATTTTATACTTTGCTTATGGCAATCATTTGGGTATAAATTTACTCCAAATAGCATGCAAAGTGGGGACAGTCCTTTGCACGTAACTATTTCATTAAGGTTACAACAAAATCCTCCAACGAATTACTTTCTGTATTGCATGAGGTTTTTACCAAATGTTCCACAGGCTGACGTTCACACACAGAACTCAAAAGCTATTGAGGATCCTGGAAGAGGGACGTTCATTTCTTTCCCCATCCAAGCCTCCTGGAATCACCACTCACCTGTCAAGGCTCCTCCCAGGCTCCCTCTTCGCAGCTGCTTTCCGTCATCATTCAGCTGTCTCTTACACTTCAGTGACCTTCCGAGGCCCGAAGTCGCATCTGGGTTGCTGCATTTCCGAAACGGCATGGGTGGTGGGGATAATATGTGGTCAAGCTGCAGAGAGAAGGACAGTGGCATCGTTGGCTGGGGATATTCAGAACATCCAGGATGAAAACCTGCTCCCACTCGCTTCCTTTCTTTGCTTTCTCAAGCCTGATTTCTCCTAAAGGGTTAGGAATTTTATTTGAATTTTATTGTGTCTTCCAACTGAAAGATGGTCTCACTGGTTGCCAAACGGCAATAACAAGGTTTTGAATGAGGGCACAACACTTTAGTAGTTCATGAAATCAGGTTTGGTAGACAGTGACCAGTATTTTTGAATGTAATGAAGTAGAAATTATCAGAGTCTAATGAAGGAAGGGAAGGAATTGTTGTATAAATCGATCATGGGGCTTGAACTTTGAGCCTGGGCTCTATCCCTCAGCTCTTCAGCTCAAGACAAGCGCTCTACCAACTGAGTCACAGCGCCACTTCTGGTTTTCTAAGTGGTTTATTGGAAATAAAGAGTCTCACAGACTTTCATGCCCGGGCTGGCTTTGAACCGTGATCCTCAGATCTCAGCCTCCTGAGTAACTAGGATTACAGGCAGGAGCCACCAACACCAGCTTGTATGAAATTTTTGACTGAGTTATAGATGAATATATCCTGGGTCCCTATATAAAATATGTCTTCCTGTGGTCATATATTCTGCCCCCCAATTGAAGAATCTTGCCATATAAAGAAGCAGGAGATCACTTTAGTTGGTCACACAAGAAAATTCACTTATTGCTTCTAAATATATGTACAGGACAGAAAGCACCATAGCCTTTAAAGGAAATCAATATATTTCTAAATCACTTCATAGCTTTTAAAAAGAAAACCTGTCACAAGAATCAGAGAAATTAAAGTCACTTCAAGAGACAGCTTTCTACAAAAGAATCCCTTGTGTCAAAACACTTATTTTAAGATCTACTTCACTTTGATAGGAACACCTTTCATATTTGAAGAATGCCATACTTTATAAGTGTTCTCCTTCAAGTAAGTATAAAAACATATATGTGTCTAGATATTTACTTAGGACAAAAATATTCATGTGCATGTCCAAATTACTATGAGGATGGGAACAAAAGGATATTTAGATATTCTGAAATGATGACAGAAAAAAGGGCCAACTTTGAAGAAGTTTAAAAGCAGGCAAGACTTGGGTAACACTATTGAAAGCCAAACATGTAAAGGAATGTTTCATTGAATCTTGTTCTGTTTCATGGTCATTTGATTATATCTATGAGAATTTCTTTGAAGTAAGACTAACATACATGTATTTACAGGAAGAAGAAATTCAAGGTCTAGGTCAGCCATTTGTCTGTCTCTATACTCGACTATCTCTATAATATCCCTCTCGAAGTTAGCTGAGACAGAACCGTTATTAGCTCAGCAACAATAAAATGTCAACTTTTACCCAGCTCAAGTATATCATTAGTGATATACGTTGGATGAGTTTCAAATACTTTTCAGAAAGTACCACCTCAAACACTGTCAGTCAGTGCTTTGCGTGTTTCCTCACCAATCAGAGGCTTTAAAGAACTACCAGAGTACCCACTCCAGAATCAAAGCCAGATCAGTCTAATTCCCTAGAAACCATTCTTTATAATAGATAAATAAAATTCCATTGTGTATAGATATTCCACATTTTCTTGATCCATACATACACTGAGGAGCATCTGGGCTGATTCCATATCTTAGCTATGGCAAATAGTGCTGCAATGTAAATGGTTGTGTTGATGGCTTTACTGTAACCTTGTCTGTTTTCTATTGGATAAATTCCCAGGAGTGGGATTGCTGGGTCATAGGGAAGCTCTATGTTTATGCTTTTCAGAGTGATTGCACAACAGTTTAGTAGCATTCCCTTTTGGCCACATCCTTACCAGCATTTGTTGTTTGTTTTCTTGATAATGGCCATCCTAACTGGGGTTAGGTGGACTCTCAATGTTTTTTTGGATTTGTATTTCCTTTAAGAAATGGAAAGACTTGAAAAAAATTATATTGTGAAGTAAGCCAGACCCAGAGGAACACAGGTTGCATGGTTTCCTTCATTTATGGTAGATAGAATGTACCTATAAATCTATAAGTAAACACGTTGGGGCATATGCAAGTGGTTACAAATGAATTAACTAAACTATAATAGACTCTATAGGGAACTCAAATAGTATAACCTCTTAAAAAGACTAGGTCAAAGCCCAACAAAATCAACCAAAGGAAATGAATATATCCAAGAGGGGGAGGAGGGCCAGGGGAAAAAGGGCAGATGAACAAAGAGGGAAGGATTGGAAAATGCAGTCAAAAACTCATTGTGTATAACTCAAAATTAAGAAGGGAAGGAGTGGTTCAAAGGGGTGGTGGTGAAAATGTTGAAGGAGGTGACACTGAGCAAGATGCATTGTACTCATAAATTCCTTTGTTATATGGCACCTCCTTTGTACAGCTACTTAAAGATAATTAAAAAAAATTTAAGCCAATGGAAAAAATTATATTAAGTGAAGTAAGCCAGGCCCAAAGAAACATAAGTCCCATGGTTTCCCTTATTTGCAATATCTAGTATAGGTATGAGTCAAGCGGAAAAAGTCAGATAATGTGATGTTAGGAAAACGAAACCTCAAATATGTATTTTAATGTTTTTGTTTCTTTCATGCATGTGTTTCTAACGCATTTATAAGATTATTTCTTTGTTGCTTTGTATGTCCCTCCCCCACAGTGTAACCCCCGCTTTCACTATATTTGATGTCAGTATAACATGTGGAGGAGATGGGGACAAACAAGTCGTTTAAGGATTCAGGTGGACCTGTTGCAACAATGAGAAGTACAAAAAGTCATGTCAAAACCAGCTTTACAATGTCGGTGGGGGGGCGAGGGGGGGTATGATTGGGTGGGAGGGAGGGGGGAGGCTGGGAAGGGAGGTGAAGGGTAAACAAAGGAGGAGGCTGCAATGCTTGGTAAGAAATGTATGCATTATCCTGCCCATGTAATTGTAACCCCTCTGTACAGTATGTTCTCAAATAAAATAAAATAAAATTAAAAAAAAAAAAAATTTAAGCCAGATCATGAGGGAAGGAGATTTTGGAGTACACTTGCAAGAAAAACAAAGAAGTGTATTTGTCAGAAGGTATCTGCTGAGGTTGCTGCTTGCTACTTAGGAGAGTCTCAAAGAAAGGATTCTTGTCTAGCCTTAGCCATCCTGCCCTTAAACCTCATGGACAATGAACTGTGGCCAGGGAAACCTTAATAGTTATGCCTCAGCTGCCCAATCCATGGTCAAACCACAGCTACAGTATTACACATATAGAGATTATTTCTCCCTCTTTCTTAGTTCTCTCTTCTTAATGTCTACATCCCAATTTTTCATGCCATTCTTTCTTCTTGTACTTTGAAAATTGTTAGAAGAAAATTCACAACTATGGCAAAGTGAAATAAGTACTACAATGAGACCCTATCTCCTCACAGACAAGCACACTCACACACAGTGAAAACTGCTCGTATATGTTATAGGAATTACACATATACACTTCAGCATGCCTCTCCTAAGAACATGACTATCCTCATAAATGTTAAAACATAGAAACTGTCCATATATTCCTGTCAGACGTCTCAAATCCTTTGCAACCAAGATAAAGTATAAAGACTAGTACATTTTTCCTTTTCCATGACAAGGAAAACTTGCAGCCACAAGGTGGCAATGCACCATAGACATTCAACAAAATAGTCTGCTAGTAAATGGATGAGTGACCCTCAAAGCAATCAAGCAACTTAGGGCCCATTCTACTAGTTATTTTCTCTTAATTATTAGTGGCAGTTCATAAAATACAAATATTTATTGTTTAAGGTTCATCAGCTTATGTAACTTATTTTTCACTCAGCTTGCAGAATTTTAATTAATTACTCCAGGGGAAGATTGTTATATCACAAATTAACAGAGGGTGAAAAAAAATAAGTAGAAGAAAAGCGGTGGTTCCTAAATAGGAAGTATATGGTTGCTTTATGTAGTTTTTACAAGATCACCAAAAACATAAAACAAGTGTAAAAGAAGAAAAGGAATTTTTTTAGGGGTAGGAAAAAGAAAAACAAATCTTGTCCATTACAGATAGATAGCCATAAGCTATTTAGTCCATAAGACAGGGTTGTTAATCGGAATCATAACCCCAAGAGGGAAGTATTGCTTTAAATCTAGGAAAATTGAGACAGTGAACTGTAAGGGCTGCAGATGTTTCAAATACTGCATGAGGAGAAATACCTACAACCAGAGTGCAATTCTCCAAGATCCCATCTCCTTCTTCATATCAGTTCATACTCCCAATAGAGTTCTCTCCAAATAGATCATTTTCCCAAATCTGCTATGTTGTCAGTGGCTCTAGTATTCCTTTTACAATTAGTCAACGTTTCTCAAAATGGCCAATGCAGCTCTGCAGTTTATTTTCCATTTATTATCCTGACTCAAACATGTACGATCCCTTTAAAAACACTTCATCTGACCCCGGGGCTTACAGTACCCATGAAACACATCACTGTAGGAATTGCCCTTTAACAGATTTCACTTTAATCTTTTTCAACTTTTCCAAATTCCCCAAATCTTCATACTACAAGGAATTTAATTGAGGGCACAAAATATCTTGAAACTTTCACGGATGCTTAAAGACATTACAGCCTGGGCTAAATCCAGATACTTTAAACACTTCTAATGTCCATCCTTCAGCAGAGAGTAGGTCCCTAGAGAGCTAGATCCTATCAGTATACTAATAGGATCTGATACTGATAGTGACACTGATAGTGTACTGATAGCTGGGATCTAAACGTATTCTCTCACAATATGCCCTTATTCATCAATAGCAAATCTGGATCAATGGTGAGCTTCAGATGTTCATTTTTATAAAGGGTAGTTCCAGGAAGAGCCAGAGAATGCTAAAGTATACTTGTCTATTATTGAATTTAGAAGTCACACAAGGTAGGAGTGTAGTAGACCATTGATGTGAGCAAAAAGGAACTAGAAAATTATAGGAAATACAAAAGTACTTATGGAACAAAAG